GCCCTCATCCTCTGTTTAACTCTGATGTCAGGTCTCTCTAGTGGCTTCCTATTTTCTATTTCTGTTCCCAGATACGCTGATACCACATGGGTTTCAAAAACATGAACATGTTGTTACCAGAGAGAAATTCCCCTCTTCATCCAGTATCATTCAATTACTCTAATTAAATTTAATTCAACAAATATTTAGTGAATGACTACTCTAGCTCAGGCAACTGGGCCAGCTGTCCAGACTTTCCCTGGATAATACAATAAAGCCTATGCTGCCATGCTTTCGAAGGGAAGTATGTTTCACCTGGGATAACTCCCTCCTCATTTTGTAAGCGACACATCTCTCCTTCACCTCATTGCCCAAGATAGAAGGATGTTGAGACAAAACCTGATTAGTTAACAAACAAACACATGTACTGATTCTGAGAAAACAGCAAGAACAGAAAGTGCTTGGCTTTCTCCAGAGAAAGCACCATAGGTCATTCCTTTAATAATGGAGGCTCAAAGAAGTCACACAGCCCATTGACATTTAACCAAGAATAGGACTTGGGGTGACTTGACAAACCCTGGGACAAAGCTGCCACTCTGACCCTGAAAAATCCACTGTGGTCTAATGAATTTTCCCACATCAAGTATCTCCTTGTATAAAACAGCCTGGCGGTGGAATTTTGAGATTTAATGATTTGGCGGCTAAAGGCTTCTTGAAAGAATAGGAAGTAGGGCAAGCTGCTGGTGGGAGGAAACTTGGCTGAATTACTGTCTATGGCTGTTCTGAGAGGCAGTGTGGGGTGATAAAAAAAAAAGCACGGACACTCGAATTCAACAGACCTGCCTTGATCCCCAGATATGCCAGTTAATAGCTCTGTGACCTTGGGCAATTCGCTTCATTTCTCTGAGCCTAAATTTTCTCATCTGCCAAATGGGGTTAATAATCCCTTCCCAGAAGAATTCTAGGGAATGCTAAGTAACATAACATATGTAGGAAGCACTGTACATCACAGGTCCCAAATGAATAATCCCACCACTCCAAACAGAGGGAGCACTTACTGCAGCTTGGATACGGGGTTGATAATGCACCCCAAGGGACTGGTAGGAAGGAGAAAGTTGCCACTGAGGCTTGAATATGTCACACCTCTCCTGGAAGAGTAGCCATGTGTGACAGCAAGCCAACAAGCTGTCAATATATAACCAAAGCAGTCTGGAACACCCAGATCTCAGAATCAGAATGACCTGTGTAAGTGCAGGGAGGCTGGACTGGAACACAACTGTGATCCAGTGAATGAAAACCTTTTTTGTTGTCTAAGATCCCATCTAGACAGGGGGTGCACTTCCTTCTGTTCTCTAGACCAACAACTCTCCTGTTCAGGCCAAGAGCCAGAATGTGCTCTAGGGAGTCAACCATGAATCTGGCAGACGGGAATCCAGACATCACGCTGGGTGGGGGCAACTCAGTTGGTTTCTCCATGGCCTGATTCCCCAACCCCCCAATTCCAAATGATTTCAGACCCTCCAAAGAACCTCCCGCTTCCCCTGACATGCTGATACTCACCCAGGAAAAGCTCCCTCATATATATAACAATAAATGGCCAAGAATAGTGGTTACCTTCACCAGGAGAAGGACGAAGGAGCATTTTTGGGTGGTGGACATGTTCTATATCTATATACTATCTAGGCGGTAGTGATTTGATGCTTATATATTCTAAATGTATCAAGCTCAACACTGAACAGGTGTACACGGCATGCAAGTTATGTCAGTATAAAAACGTAGAAACAAAACAAGCATACAGTGCAGTAGCATTAAGTACATATTCATATTGATGGGCTGGCAATCTCCAAACTCATCGTACAAAACCAAACCATTGCATTAAATAATAACCCCTCATTCTTCCTCCCCCAAGCCCATGACAACCAGCCTTCTACTTTCTGACTCCATGGATTTGACTCTTCTACATACCTCATATGAGTGGAATCAGAGTATTTGCCATTTTTGTGACTGGCTTACTTCCCTTAGCAGAATGTTATCAAGGTTGTTTTTTAATGCCCTCATGTAAGGAAACATCAGTACTAGAGTATCAGGAACAAGAAGGGCTCTATGATGAGTAATGTTTCATACTGTGTTACTGTGATGGTCTGTCCGCCCACTGCCCATCCCACCCTCCCACCGCCAAATTCATGTTTAACTTCTTTACCCATGTCTTGGGAATCTGACCGCTGTGATGGGTTATTCTGAGCCGCTGAGCTTGGTGTGCACTAGAGGCCGTGAGGCAGGCCACCACGGCAGGCCACCCAGGAATACCTTCTAGAGAGGCCTTTTGGAAACCACTTGGCCACCTTCCTGCTTTCCTGTGGTGGCACTTTTAATCACGTCCGCTTTAAACTGTAGCACAAGGCACTTCACTAATGTAAAGTCTCTTCCCTCTCTCCGTTGCATGATAATGCGATGAGGTAAAAATAGCAGGCAACGTTCACTGTGAACGGTCAAGTGATGTTCACAAAACCCGCCGGTGGTAGGTTTTATGCCCCATGTACAATCACAAAACAAAGTGAAACAAAACGAAAACAGCAGAAAACAGAAAAACACACTCATTTTCTCTGAGCACTTTGATTTCCTTTTTTTCTGCTAAATCTTGCACCAAAACTGTAAGTCTATATACATATATAGATTGTTAGAATTTCATTGTTTTTCCCTATTCTCCAGCAGAAAGGCTTTGAGCACTAAATTAGCCAAAAGACCAGCATTTAGGTAAAGAAAGTCATGAAAGTTGAGACTATATTATCTTAGGATTCCTCTTCCATTTGCTTTGAGCCTGGATCAGACACTGAAACCTCAAGAACAATTTGTTTGCTCTGTAGAACGATTCACTCTCCAGACTGCGCAGTATGCGCTCCTCAAGGGCAGGGCTCATGACTTATTAAAAATAACAATAACAGTAATAAAAATGCTGCATTTTAATCGTAACTACATGTTCTCTCTCTGAGGTAAAGGCTTCTAAAACTCAGAAAACGCTTGACCATGGATAATAATTTTTCTTATCATTATCCTTAATTAGCTATACCAGACCCTGCACTGAATCCTTTACATGAATTCATTCATTCAATTTTTACAACAAACTCTGTCATTTTGCAGAGGACGGGACAGAGGCTCAGACTTAGGTAACTTGAATGAGCTCACATGGGGGATCAGGCATGTGTGATTCCAAAGCCACTTCGGACCCTGTTTCTCACGGCAGGGCTCCTGGAACCACCAGGGTTCTTGTTTCTAATCAGACCCGGTGCCCACTGCAACTACTGCTTCAGAATCTCAGGGGGCAAGCCCGGGAGTCTACCTTTGAAACAAGCTCCCCAGTGACATCTTCAAACCACTGGCCTACACTGGAATTCCTCTCTGTCCCCAGGGCGCTTCCCTACATCAGTGTCTGGGGGTGTGGATGTGGTGAAAAAACAGCACAGATGGAGGAAGAACAGAGCAGCAGCGATGGGGCGGCTCCGGGACCGGGGCAGGCACGGAAGTCGGCCTTGGCCTGGGTTCAGCCATGTATCTCACACAGAACACAATCAGAACTCCAGGATTAGAAGAAAAACACAGGGCCAATTTTCAGGAACTGGAGAAAGAAATGGTAACAAGAAATATGTCCAGGATCCTAAGCAGGTGGGAGAGGGGAGGGGCTATCCGGGTCTGGGCATGGGAGCTGTTGGGAGCTGTGGCAGCCCTGAGCCGACCCTGTTTCCCTGCTGGGGTAAAGTGGATGGTGAATAGGTTCAGCTGGCAGTTTAGAGGGAAGTTGGACTATCCCACCCACAGCTAAGCTACTGTTTCAGTTCTCTTTTCTGTGCACAATCAAGTACTTGAGGCCTTGATGAGGTTAACCACAGGAAAACCACAAGAAAATGGCTTCAAGGCCGCCAGCCTGAAATAGGGTGTTAAGAGCTCTGTGTTCGACCTCTGGGTCAGCAATGGGTGGGAGGCCGTGGGGGACAGGAAAGCAGAGATGGTGAGAAGCTGCCTCTCACCTGCCAGCCTCCAGCCTCAACTACACGTGACTCTCCAAGGTCCCCAACAATCACAGGATTGAGTCACTTAGCATGCTCTGCTATTTAGAGATGAGCATGACATTAGACAAGTGACATTGCCTCTCAAAACGTCTTTTATTCAAATGGAAAGATTTCTGTTATCCTACTTGGGCTGTCAGTAATCTTAGCACAGGACCAACAGGAGCCCCAGAATTAAGTCCTCAACTTCTCCATTGTTCAACGAGCCCTCCTTTGTCTATTTCAATTCCAATTACTTTCATATCATTGAGCGAACACTCGAGCTAGTCATCAGAGGGGGAAGTAAGAAGTAGCAGCCCCAGAAATGCCTCCCCCATGGGGCTCAAAGCTTCAAGGGTATCAGAATTGCCTGGGGAAATGGCTGCCACACGGGTTGCTGGATCCCACCGCTGGAGTGTTTCTGGTTCGGTAGGTCAGGGTGGAGCCTGAGAATGTGGATTTCGAACAAGTTCCCAGGTGACATTGAGGCTGCTGGTCTGGAGACCACACTTGGAAAGCCACCATCTAGATGAGTGATTTTTAACCTCATGTGAGAATGTGTCATGACAATCTCTAGAGAAGTGTTTTCATGTTACATGAGACAGTCCCTGCACCCTGGAAGCTCAGCTTTCACCCATTCTGGTAAGAAGGGTGGGGAGAAATCATTCAGATCATTCTTTAACTACCTCAAAGCTACCCATTTGGCGAATGTGAAAACAGTCTAAATTCATTTAAAAGAGGGAAGAACTTCTGGCACTGCCTTATCAGTAACACCCAGGAAGTATTTACCAAACTCTCATGATGGTGGATCTATTGAGACATGAATCTGTGTTTTGTTCCTCTGGCAGCAGACACTGGAAAGCAGAGGTTCTCCTTCCCACTCTACATAGCTAACAGGGAGCAGAGTCAGAATTTACAGTCAGAGCTCCTGGAGCTTAGCATTTTACACCTTCCTGAGCTGCTGAGTCTTAGGCTGAGTACTCGCTTCCATGTTTGGCCTTCATGCTTGGCAGTATCCAAGTCCTCTTTCTGCTCCTTCCTAATTTGTGAGTAAGGCGCATGCAGCAGTAACACACTAGAACAAGAGCACAGAACTGTTCCTCACAGGGCTAGACGGTACATTCCTAAGGCTCTGCCATGCAGTTCCTGTTGAAGCTACTCAAGTGTGCCACTGAAGCATGAACATGGCCATAGACAATATAGAAATGAAAGAGTATGGGTCAGGCATGGAGGCTCATACATACAATCACAGCACTTTGAGAGGTCAAGGCGGGTGGGTCACGTGAATTCAGGGTTTGAGACCAGCCTGGCCAACATGGTGAAACCCCCATCTCTACTAAAAAGATAAAAATCAGCCAGGCATGGTGCACATACCTGTAATCCCAGCTACTCAGGAGGCAGAGGCAGGAGAATCACTTGAACCCAGCAGGCAGAGGTTGCAGTGAGCTGAGATTGTACCACTGCACTCCAGCCTGGGCAACAACAGCAAGATTCCCTCTCAAAAAAAAAAAAAGAAAAAAAAAAGAAAGAAAGAAAAAAGAAAAAGAAAAGAGTACTGCAGTATTCCCACAAGACTTTTTTTCTTCTTTGAGATGAAGTCTTGCTCTGATGCCCAGGCTGAGGTGCAATGGCACGATTTCAGCTCACTGCAACATCGGCCTCCAGAGTTCAAGCCATTCTCCTGCCTCCCTCCGAGCTGGAATTACAGGCACCCACCACCACACCCAGCTAATTTTTGTATTTTTCAGTAGAGATGGGGTTTCGCCATGTTGCTCAGGCTGGTCTCGAACTCCTGACCTCAAGTGATCTGTCTACTTTGGCCTCCCAAAGTGCTGGGGTTACAGGCATAAGCCACGGTGCCTGGCCCCAATAAGACTTTATTTACAAAGGAGTGGTAGGTCAGATTTGGCCTGCAGGCCGTAGTTTGCTGACTCCTGCTCTATAAGATGCATGTTGGAAAGAAAGACCAGGAGCCTCGAATAAGCCTTGGAGCTTCAGGCTTCAGCCAATTCCAGCAGACTGTGTTCTGGCTCCCTTCTGAATCACTCTGGCACGATCTGTGCTGTCTGAGAAAATTGCAAGGTGCTGCTGAAGGCCACTGGAGAGGGGGTTGGTTACCTGAACACGAGGGCTCCATCCCGAAGGCCCAAGGAAATGAAGTCGCTATTGGGTCTCATGGGGCTGTCTCCCCTCCACAGCAAAAGGCCATCCTTGGCAGTTGTCTTAAACCTCATGAACACATTTGATCTTGATCCTGACACCCTGGAGGAAATACACAAACAAGTCCACCAAATCAACCACCAACATCTGTTTCCAAGTAATTCCAGTTTTGTCTGCCAGCCCTGAGCAACCAGATGTTAAGGATAATCTGGCACTTTCTGACACTTACTTCATCACCATGAGCTGCACCACAGGTCTAAGGTCTGGACTGCTCTCTCGGCAGCAGTCTCCCTCGCTAAGCACCGTGAACCCTCATCAGACAGCGTTCGCTGAGTGACAGGTTAGCAAGACTATGGCCAATGCCATGGCTTAGGCTGCACCCCCGGACGCACCTCATTCTTTTCTCTTTCCTGTTTTACTACTCCAGGGCCCCGTTCCCCAACAGAAAGTGTGTTTCCCAACTACCAAGAGACTCAAAACGGCAGCCACCCTGAGCTAGGACCACGGCTGTGGATAGCCAGTTCTGGCCGGTGACTGTCCTTGGGGGCAAGGTCCGGTCAGGGGAAATGCCAAGCTGATGGCATCTCAGACAAGGAACACGGCCTGAGAGATGAATGGTCTGGAGCGGTGCTGAGGCAGAGCCAGGGTGGAGAAGAACAGGAACTTTCAGGAAAGGAGGGGTGCTCAGGCAAGGCCGGCTCCATGCCCTACAGTCATGGCTGGGGATAGGTTCACAGGCTGATGTGCTCTTAGCAATGCTTGGGAATAGGCTAGTTCAGAAATTCATTCTCATTAGCATGATCAGTGTTTCATCTTGCACAGGGAAAAGAGGCAGGCTGAGGTCCTTGAATCAAGGGTGAGATAGGCGGATACATAATTTAATATTGCTGCCAGCCTAACGCTATTGGAAAAGTTTATTTGTGCATTCTCCAGTCACTTGTAACATCCCTCTCTCTGTCCCACACAGCTGGGTCTGTGTCTGCAGAGTGTCCTCAATCATGAACAGTGGAGGGGACTATTGTCTGGGCTTCCCAGAGCCTGGTCTAGTCAGAAGAGACCAATTTGCGTTTCTCATGCAGGGTCTCAGGGCAGTGAGGGAGGAGCGTGGTCCCCAGGCTAGGTGCAGAACAATCTAGCACTGCCTGTTCCCTAGAGACCTGCTTTTCCCAGACTTTTGCTCCAGGCTCCTTCCCTCTTCCATTTGCCTTGGGTATACTGATCGGCTACAAGTCAATCAAGAGGTTCCCATTTCTCTCGCCAGTGATTGGTTCATGGGCAGGCATGTGGCAGCACAAAAGAGAGACACAATCGTATGCCTTTTGTCCAAAGAGATACAATTCTGGGAAGAATTCCTTCTCTTTTAAAAAGAGTCATATGAGGAAAAAAGTCTTTTTGACTTCCACTGGATATAGTCATATTATGTGCGGCTTACGGGCAGCTGGGGAGTGACCTCTGGAGAAGATGCTGAGGACAATGAGCAAGAAATATGGATGAGACTGGAATCTTTGATGGTACAACTTCTTCTCTTGATTAATCAACCCAAGATCCAGTGTCAGTCTGGACTCTTTGCGGTATAAAATAGTAAATACCCCTTATGGGTAAGACATTTTAAGATGAGCTTTCTGTTACTTGCCACCAAAGGTATCTGACCAAAACAGACCCTGAACTTGACTTTTACCTGGAGCCTCACATACATGCATCTGTACCTACATATACATATATACACATGCACACACACACATGTACACACATACACACTATCACACGCTACTGGAGTTGCTGTGGGTTTGGGCCTCACATCTCCTGCTCTCATCAAGCTCCTCTGCTTCCCCAAACCACTGGTGGCCTCTCACCAACCCCCAGAGCCTGAAGATTTGCCCCCCTTTTACCCTGTCACTGTTTTCTAGGGACTGAATGACCTTCCATCTTTGGAGAGAAAGGGCTGAAGGAGGAGGAAGTTCTGTCTTGGCTGGGAATCCATTTTACCTAAGTCCCCACACCAAGACAACACAGATAAATACAAGCCGGGATTACAGAAGTGAAGCAATGTCTGCCTGGTGTGTTTTCCCAGTTACCAGAGACATCCAATGCCCTAGGAAAATTCCTCCCAACCACTTTTGTTCCCTGAAAAGCCATCGAACTCCACCCTAAGAACTGGATGCCTTTCACTTAAAGATTTGCCTTCCTGTGTTAAGATGCAGTCCATCGGAAGAGGAAGGGAAATCCTAGAATGACTGTGTGGGAAGCAGAAAGGGGAATAGTACCCTATAAACCACAAAGAACTGGGGGGAGGGAAAGAAAGAGACAAGGGGCAAACTGAAAGTGCCAAAAACAGGCTTAACTGAGTTGAGGATTTTGCCATGTAAAAGGCTATTCCAAACCAAGATGAAGGACTTCAGGCCAAGCTGGGACTTCTGCCCCCAGGGGTGAGATGCCATGGCTGTGGCTTGAGCATTTCCCCGTGCCATGCTCTTGAATCCACATGAAGAGAGCTGAGAAGCCCCTCATTGAACTGGCCAGAGCCTGAAAAGGCCACGAGATCTTTACTGATGAAGACGCAGGGTAGGTACGGACCCAGCAGGGAACGGGCTTGGATCTGTCTGTCCTGCTGCTGCTGGCCCAGGTCAGACTTGCACACTCTGGCCATGGCACAGCATGGAACTTCCCTGCTCAGAGAATCACACTCATCACTCAGGCTTCAGGAACGTCACATGCTCCCTGCTTCTCAAAGCCTGAATACTGGAAACTCTGGGACAAGCCATGTCTCTCTCTCCAGGCCCTTTGACCAGAAAGATACTGGATTGTTTGTAACAGGGTTATTTGAAAGGCCAATTTCTGAAGTTTAGTTTGTTTTTAGTTTTATTTTCCTCTAATTTCTATGTTTATTTCATGTGTGTGTGTTTCCCCTGAGACCACGGCTGAATGGTCTTCTTTGAGAATTATCTTCTGGCATGAAATATAAGAAAAAACCCTGAGAAGGATATAGAGAAATTGACCACCAGAAAGCTGAGGAGGGAGGCTGTTGAAGCTTATTACCTCTTCAAGATATCAGGGTTGTCATACGTCAGGTAACTGCGGCCGATAAACTGCGGGATCTCAATGGCTTCTATGATTGCTGGAACAGAACAGAGAAAGGTTACTTAGTATGTAGCTGTCTTGCCCCCTGCACTCACACACATGGCAGGAAAATGCCCAGAAAGGCAGCTCCTGGAAATAGGATGTTTAACAATGTGTCAGCACCTTCCCTTCGACCACATGTAAATTTGGCCAGGTTCACAGTTGCCCAGATCCATGGCCTGGGCTTGGCTTCTCCCCCATTTTCCCCTCCTGGGAAGTCCTGTCCCTGCCACTGGCCTCAGCGCTGCTGAGAAGTCCTCACAATGTGCTGAAACTTGAACTCTTCCCAATTATTCTTGGAAGCCAAAGATCAATGTGGAGAGCAGCTGGGGATAACCCCAGATGTTCTCCAAGGGAGGCAGAGAAAACAAATCCATCAATAAGGGCCACTAGGATTCTGGAAAGCTGATTTGCTGTAGAACCCTTTAAGCTATGATTTCGAGAGACTCAAAAGCACTGTGAATGAGGCTTGGAGTCCTTCATTTCTGATCTCCTTCCAGTGTATTTCACAAGATTTTTTTTTTTTTTTTGAGATGGAGTTTTGCTCTTGTTGCCCAGGATGGAGTGCAATGGCATGATCTCAGCTCACTGCAACCTCCACCTCCCGAGTTCAACCAATCCTCCTGTGTCAGCCTCCTAAGTAGCTGGAATTACAGGCACCCACCACCATGCCTGGATAATTTTTGTATTTTTAGTAGAGAAGGGGTTTCACCATGTTGGCCAGGCTGGTCTCGAACTCCTGACCTCAGGTGATCCACCCGGCTCGGCCTCCCAAAGTGCTGGAATTACAGATGTGAGCCACTGTGCCTGGTCTATTTCACAAGATCTTCACTACAATCTCATGAAGCAGCAACTAGTACGGCGGAAGGGAATGGCTGGTTATTCTTATTTTACGGAAGAATTAAGTGAATAGAAAGCATGGAGGAGTTGCCTGAGATCACGTGGTTAACAGAGCAATAGACTGTGAACCTGACCGGCTCTTTCTAATTCTGGCTTCCGACACCTCTCAACTTTCCAATACTTTAGAAATGCATTTTCTTCCTCCCAAACTCTCAACACTTTGTTTTCCTGAAGAATCACCCTTTTACACACGGTTAGCAAAATTAGAGTTTAAGTGACTATATGTCGTGTCACGAACGGATGACACTAGGAGATTTCTCCCAGAGAAATAACAGCGTATCTCTTTCCATTTTGGAAAGATACAGAAATGGTGCTTTAAAGAAATTAAGGTAGAATAAATCTCAAATTCAAAGAAATGTGCAAACTGAGGGAGAATAAGCTGGCTTATAAAACGTATTATAGTTTCAAGAAAATATGTGATTTGTGCAAAGAAGAGACTGAATGAAGGACTTGCCACCTGGAGAGGAAATGGATAATTATTCGATGCTATGAACAATCGTACCGATCAAACTTAACCTTCAAACATAAAAAAAGAGAGGAAACAGCAAAGCCGAGGACAATGTGCACCCAAGTGCCAGTCTCTGTTTTGGCAGCTTCCCAGAGCCTTTCATAAAAACTAAAAAAGAGGCCAGGCACGGTGGCTCACACCTGTAATCCCAGTACTTTGGGAGGCCGAGGTGGGTGGCTCATGAGGTCAGAAGTTCAAGACCAGCCTGGCCAACATGTTGAAACCCTGTCTTGACTAAAAATACAAAAATTAGCCGGGCGTAGTGGTGTGTACCTGTAATCCCAGCTACTCAGGAGGCTGAGGCAGGAGAATCACTTGAATCTGGGGGGCAGAGGTTGCAGTGCGGCAAAACTGCGCCTCTGCACTCCAGCCTGGGTGACAGAGTGTGACTCCATCTCGAAAAAAAAAGAAGAGAGGAAAGAAAACAAGAAAAACAAACGATGAAAAAGAAAATTTAAAAGACAGTTTTGGAGGTAACTACCCAAGAAACAGCTCTGTGGTTCTCCGAAGCCGTGCAGCCCTGGACAAGGGCCTGAGGCTGCGAGGACCCAACAGGACGGCCGTGAAGGGCTCTTGTCCCTACAGTTTGGGGCCGCACCCCCAGCGACTCCCTTCTGACTACAGGAGGTAGGAGGAAGAGGAGACAAGGAAGGGAAACACAGGGAGGAAAAGAAAGTGGGAGGCAAAATGGCAAAAGGACGGGAAAGAAGCCAAGCAGGAGCACGGGTGGGATGAGTGAGAAAGAAGGGACACTGCGGCAAGAAGAGGAAGGAAGACGGGGCGGAGAAAAGGCAGCATGGAGGGCGGCCACCAGGTACGGAAGGACCGGAAACGGAAACGGAAAGGAGGTGCCGGAAGAGGAGGGCCGGGAATGGACCCAGAGGAACAGAGAGAAATGCCAGGGATGAGGAGGACAGGTGGCAGGTAAGAGTACAAAAACGGAGGAGGTGGAAGGACGCTCTTGGCTGGGGCAGTGGGCCCCTCGTTTCAGGACACCATGGCTGGGAAGGGAGAAGGAAGACAGAAGATCTAAGCTGACCGGCAGAGGAGGCCTTTGCGGAGCTACACTGAACCAAGGAGTCCCTGGTGGGTTTGGCTCACCCCCAGCGGGAGTGGGACAGCTGGGGCCCATCCCTGCTGTTGTCGGCCATGGCATGGCCATGGGCCTGTGGCCAACACCCATCTTTCTGAACTCCTTGCAAGGGTCAGGACGTGCCTGCCACACATCAGCTCTGCACACAAGCTTCCAAGGGGCTCTGTGGGAGCCCCCAGCCGCTGCCGGCTCAGACCCCAGCTCAGGAGAGAAGTGTCCTCTGGCCGGCCGGCGGGAAGGCTTCCCACCGAGTGTAGGTGTGTCCCGGCTCCCACACCACTCACCCCGGATCCCCTTTACATGCAGCTGGCCTGCCCTGGCAGGCCCTGGCCCAAGCCCAGAGCGCTCTCACAGTCTCTCATAGGACTTAATGTACTTACTATTGAGGCAGTAGTTCCCACACTCTGCCCGGTGCCAGCATGAAAGAGAACAGGGAGAGTCAGCCTTGCACAGTCCTTGTCAAATCCCAGTTGCTCTGGTTGCAGATCACTTGAAGTCAGCCTTGTTTCTCTCACAAAGCTCTGCCCGAAGGTCCAGAGCGTCCTCTTAGGGAATGTGAATATGAGACCCGCGGGAACCACTGGAAATCTCTCCTCAGGATGATTGGCACCGAGCCACCTGCCTCCCCGTCTCATCTCGGCTTAATGAAGGTGGGGGGTGGCAGTGGACCAAGAAGATGTCTAAAGTCAGCTGTCTGACACTTCTGAGGCTCCCTTGCCTTCGGCTGACAATCTGCATTTCTTCTAAATCTAGAGAAACAGCTCGTGCTCAAAAGTTACCTTGTCAGTGATTATTACTTTCCTTGGCTCTGGGCTGCATGTGAAACAGGAATGATAAGCCAGCCAGCTTGCCTCTTCTCTCTCCCTGGTGGAAAATACCGCCCACATTCCCACCCTGCCCCATCTCTCCTTGCAGGATTCTAGAGCCCTGGTTATCTTGTGATTAACAAAGGGCAGAGGCATTCTTGAGAAATAACACTACTGGATACAAAATGGTAAAAATATGTTTCATTTAAGTGAGTATATATAGGGACAAATTATCCCATCCAAAATCATCAGAGCTCAAAGTGGCCATTGAACCCTTTCTAGCCCTTTGTAGTTGGTTTAAATGTTGTAAGCATTATTATTATTAATTATTATTAGAGACAGAGTCTTGCTCTGTTGCCTAGGCTGGAGTGCAGTGGCACGATCTCGGCTCACTGCAATTTCTCCCTCCCGGTTCAAGCGATTCTCCTGCCTCAGCCTTCTGAGTAGCTGGGGCTATAGGTACGTGCCATCATGCCTAGCTAATTTTTGAATTTTTAGTAGAGTTGGGGTTTCATCATGTTGGCCAGGCTGGTCTCGAACTCCTGACCTCAGGTGATCCAAAGTACCAGGATTACAGGTGTGAGCCACTGTGCCTGGCCAACATGATTATATTTTAACCTAACCCTATACCTAATTTTTTTCTTTTATTTTATTGAAAAAAATTTAATTGACACATAATTGTACATATTTATGGGGTACATAGTGATGTTTTGATACATATAATATATAGGGATCATATAAGGGTAATTAGCATATCCATCATCTCAAAATGTATCATTTCTTTGTGCTGGGAACAGTCAACATCCTCCTAGTTATCTGCAACTATATAATGTACCATTGTTAACTACAGTCATCCTATAGTGCTATGGAACACCAGGACTTACGTCTATCTCCCTGTAATTTTGTATCTTTTGACAAATCTCTTCTTCCTATTCCCCCACTTCCTCTACAATTTCCAGTATACCTAATTTTTTTTCTACATTATCTTTTCTCTGTTGGCAATGGTCTCAATGATTAATTGAAATGTGTTTTTGTTATTTTCTTACCTTTATGTCTAAAAACTTGTGCCATCTGGTGACACACGCATACAAAAACACCCCAGTGGATGGCAACCTCCAAGCCAGAAGCCCTGCTGTCTAGGCAAAGCAAATTTTCCATTTGAGGAACTTGGAATTCCTAATAGACTATAAAGAGTTTGCCAGGTGTGGTGGTTCATGCCTGTAATCCCTCCACTTTGGGAGGCCCAGGCGGTGGATCACCTGAGGTCAGGAGTTCGAGACCTGCCTGGCCAACATGATGAAACCCCGTCTCTACTAAAAATACAAAAATTAGCCAGGCGTAATGGGGCATGCCTGTAATCCCAGCTACTTTGGAGGCTCCGGCAGGAGAATCACTTGAACCTGGGAGGCAGAGGCTACAGTGAGCCAAGATCACACTACTGCACTCCAGCCTGGGGTAACAGAGTTAGACTCCATCTCAAAAAAAAAAAAAAAAAAACGAGTTGAAGGGACCACTGGCTCTTTCACATGTTCACAGGACCTTAGCACAGGAAAGGGCCCTGTGGGCATGGAAGGCCACCTTCCCCAACAACCAGGGCTCCTGTCAGCAGCATCCTTGATGGATGACCATCCCACCAGAGCGAATATTTCCCACAATGAGTAGCTCACTCTTCCACAAGGTGGTACCTCCCGTGCTGGACCATTCTACTAGGTACAGATATCTTTATTATAGTATGCTGACTATAGCCACAAAGTAAAAACAAACAACACCTTTCCCTAAACTAGCAGCCCTTCAACTATCTGAAGGTAAACATCTACACTAGACACCTCCAGATCTCCCATTCTGGGGGTGTTTAATGATATACCATCCACAGAAAAGAAATTCCCTTGAATTTGGCTCTTGCAGTTGGTTTAAATGTTTTCTAAAGAAAGTTGTCCTTGGCATTTAGTGCGTAAGTACATCAGAACATGATTCTAATCATCTTATATTTTTTATTTTTTGACATGGAGTCTCGCTTTGTCACCCAGGCTGGAGTACAATGGCATGATCTCACTACAACCTCTTCCTCCTGGGTTCAAGTGATTCTCCTGCCTCAGCCTCCCGAGTACCTGGGATTACAGGTGTGCACTACCACACCCAGCTAATTTTTGTATTTTTAGTAGGGACACGGGTTTCACCATGTTGGCCAGGCTGGTCTCGAACTCCTGACATCAAGTGATCTACCTGCCTCAGCCTCCTAAAGGGCTGAAATTACAGGTATGAGCCACGGCCCCTGGCCTGACTCTAATCATCTTAAAAGTATATATTGTTATGCGATATCAGGGCATCTGAATGTTTGGGTGTCCTAGGGTTTGTCTTTGCAGGCATTACTAAGCTGCTTCCTTAGCCATAGACATCTTACATGTCTATGTGACTGAAAGGAATGTGCCTTGCTAGTTTTAAGATGGAGTTGATTTTAAAAATGGTGTCACCCTGGCTCTCCTATGCTCCTGTTTCCCTAGTGAAGGTGCAGGAATCTTGGGAACCATCTTAGAATTATGCTATTACAAGTTCCAATTACTAAAGGAGGAAATGACCAGAATGAGGGACTGGGAACAGCCAACATGGTCATTAACTGAAGGACTGCTGCGAAAGAGTCTAGGTATTTGTTTAATGTGGATGTTTGCATATTTCACTCTTTAATTCACCTTTAAGATAAATGTGATTAAAATTTTTTCCTATATAACAATCGAATTACTTGTGTAACAATAATTAAATAACCTCTCTTTTCCAATTAATTTGAAATGACTTATTTTAAATAAATTTTCCTGTATAACAAAAAAAGAAATTCCCTTTAGTAGCATAATTTGTGTGTTTTATTAATTTGTGGTTTTATAAACAATTTTCTTATATTTACAGAAGCTATTTTTTTATACACTGGGATCAAAAAAATAAATAAATAAAAAACCAATCACCCAAATCAGACCCTGGACATGATGTGACTCTACTAAACAACATAGAATACTGTAAATGTTGCAGGTGTGGTAGGTTAGTACCCATCAGGCAGCACTGGATGCTTGAGGACTGCGTACCCCGATGAGTACATGCCCTAGCCTAGCTTTATCTCAACACCTATTGCCTCTGTTGTGCGCGGGGCCACCTGCTACAGAGAAACACCGCCATCTAGTGGCCCGTGGGATCCTGCACAGTCTGAATTGAAGCTGTTCTAATAATACAGGGAAGGGTAGGAAAGGTCAAAGCTTGGTTTCCCAGGTGACTTGTCCACTATTGACTGGAAGAACCCAGAGAAAACAGCTGTATCCTGCACTCACCCCTTAGACACTCAGAGCATAGCAAAGGCTCTGAGAAGTTCTGCAGAAGAGAGAGAATTGTCTGTTTACTCAGGATTATCCCAATGTATTTCACCATAGAAGCCTCCTCCCATTTTGTGTATGTGAATGTGTGTGTATGTGAATGAGTGTGTATGTGTGTGTTTTGTGTACAAAGCAGCGATTAATATTCCTCAGAACTTAGTTTTTTACATGTGCCTTGCGAAACTCTGCTAAGACATTTTAGTAACTCACTTAGATACACAAGCTCTGAGGAACTGGGATAGAAGATAGGTCCATTTGGATGCAGGTAGAGAAAAATGGAAAGAAATCTCTAAGAATGGAAGTAATTTTTGACAGGGGAGACCTTGGTGAGAAAAAAGGGGGCATAGGTATTGGGTAATACATGGGGTGCTGAGGTTTGGGGTGGAGAAGATGCCTGAAAGTGACGGCCATCAAATGGAGGGTGAGGGGACCCCCCCACCCCAGGTCAAAGCTTATGTTTTTTCTTGTTGCCTGAAGTCATGCTGGGAGTAAGAAGAACCTCTGGCATCTCCTGTCCTTGTCGGTCTTGAAGTTGGGACAGACAGGTTCAAGTTTCTGCAGTGGCCACGCTACAGAAGCCTGCGGCACCCCGAGAGCATCTCAGATGCTTGGTGGGAGCTCAGTGTACCCCTCAGTCTGGATCAGGTCCTCCTGCTCCTGCCTCCAGCCCCACAGGAAAAGAGGAGACCCTGAAACCACCATGTTTGAGTGGTTATGAGTTTCTGGCCCCTGCTTTCCTGAGTTACAAGAGGTGGGAACAAGTGTCAAGTCGTCCAACTATGGCCCTTGTGGAACTCACTTGCCACATCCTCTGATGGGGCTGAAAAGATGATCCAGAAAACCAAATTCCTCATGAAGAAGGTGCCCTCTGGTATGGACTGGGTGAGGCCTGCTGCTGGTTATTTCTATACTATTTTGCTCCATGTAAAAGGACCAGTTTAACTTCTGTATGAATGCTGGGAACAGGTTCTTGCTTTTGAAGCACGGTTTGATTACGAAGCAGAAAAATAACCCCAACTTTTAAATATATAAGGCTAAAAATCACCTTGCTGGATGAGACAGGCTTCTTTCTGACAAGCACGGATGGCTTCTCACCATTCAAGATCTCTCGGACTAAGGATTTACGCTAACTTTCTGTGTATTCTCTTGCATCTCTATGGAACAACACAATTGCCCATCTCTTTTCCCTTTCTTTCCAATCCTTACAATGGGACTAAATGCTTTCCCCAATATTTTATAAGACTGTATAGCAACTGCCCACAACTGGTACCTGCTGGAGCCTGGAAAAACTGTCCCAGAGCACCCATTAGTCCTTTCCAGCCATTATGATGGAGAGGAAATTATGGGACAGGGGCCATACCTCTGATATATGAACCATCCTAGGATTTGCAAAGGATGCCATCTTTCCAGAAGCAGTATCTTGATTTCAAAACACAATCAGATACTGATTCAACATGGAGGGTGGCTGCTGGCTCATCTGGGTTCCAGTCCTGATTCTAGACTGCTTTGCAGGAAAACAGGCCTCAGCGTTCTACAGTTCCCTCGCTGTTGTCCATTCCCACAGAGCTTGCCAGATCCAGGCGCTCACTGGGATCTGCCCCACTATTCTGGTGAGATTTCTTCTCATTGAACCTGAACCTATAGTTAGAAAGCTATAAATGTGAGCACTTTATCTCTGTTCTGGCGAATGTTCAATTGCAGGAAATGAAGGCTAAGAAGATCACATATTATCCTTTCCTTTTTCCTTTAATTCCCAATGCTAAACGTTCATTTAAGTCCAGGCTTTATATATTGACCATTAAGGTTAGATAAAAGGCAGGCGCAAACTCAAAGCGCCTGCGGTAAAATCAGAGACTTAGGAAATTCAGACGCTGATGTGTGAAATCCAAACACAATTTTCTGAATGAATGAGCCACTCTTCAGCTAAATCTCTGCAAGTACAACCTATTAGCTAAACAGCAATTTGCTTGTTAGGATCATAATCAGGATAATTCACAAATGGGTCAATTAATCTTCCTTGTTAAAAATACATTTCATGATGTGCCATGTAGCTTTCAAAATTCATTTAAATATAAGAAATACTATGAAGTCTTCCAATTGGCAAATTGGCATCTTTCATATTTTCTAGGATTGCTGCAAA